CCCCCCCGGCCCTGCTCCCACGTCCCTGCATGCGCTGCCTGTGCCCCCTCGCGCTGGACATGCAACCCCTCCCCACGGCCCCCCCAAATAAAGAGGTGCCCCAGCCCCGGCTCCGTGCTGCCTGGGGGGACGGGGGGCACGGCTGCTCAGGGGTCCTGGGCGCTCCGGGAGGGAGAAGGCAGCACTGGGGGGGGTCACAGGGCTGGGCTGGGCTCAGGGGCTGTGGGGGGGTCTGTCACACGGCAGCGGGGGTCCCCGACACCCCAGGAAGGAGGAGGCAGCACTGGGGGGGAAGCTCTTTATGGGATACCGAACGCACATCACCCACGAACAGCAGCGCCCCGGCAGGGGCACACCGGGACCCCCAGCACTGGGGGCTCAGGGCACACCGGGACCCCCAGCACAGGGGGCTCAGGGCACACCGGGACCCCCAGCACTGGGGGCTCAGGGCACACCGGGACCCCCAGCACAGGGGGCTCAGGGCACGGCCACACCCCCAGCACTGGGGGCTCAGGGCACACCGGGACCCCCAGCACAGGGGGCTCAGGGCACACCGGGACCCCCAGCACTGGGGGCTCAGGGCACACCGGGACCCCCAGCACAGGGGGCTCAGGGCACACCGGGACCCCCAGCACTGGGGGCTCAGGGGAAGTAGGGAGAGGAGACTGGGGGGTTCATTCCCCCCTGGGGTCCCTGTACCTGGTCCCGGAGGGTCCTGCCCCTCCACCAGCCCTGTGGCCCCATGTCTGGGGGTTCCCATGCCCTCGGGAAGCCCCCTGCCCCTGGGGGGAGTCCCAGCCCTCTCATCCCCCCCCGGGGGTTGTGCCAGCCCCCTGCAGCCGGGGCAGAACCTAATAAATACTGGGGGGCTGCAGTCAGGGGGCTGGCATGGGCTGGCACCCGGCTGGGGGGGCGGGGGGCTGCCCCCCTCAGGGGGTCTGGGGGCCCTAGGGGGGGCAGAAGTCGGTGAAGTAGGGGTGCTGCAGGGCCTCCTCCGCTGAGATCCGCTGCACCGGATTGCACTTGAGCAGGTTCTGGGGGGCACGGGGGGCTGAGGGGGGACAGCACGGACCCTCCCCCGTCCCACAGCCCCCCAGGCGGGCAGGGGGCTGCGAGGGGGAGGGCACCCACACCCAGGAGCCAGAGCCCCCAGGGGGTGGGCAGGGGTGACACGTGTGGGGACACAGCGGTGGGACAGGAGCAGGAGCAGGGGGCGTGCAGGCTGGGAGACACACCAGGGGTGGGGGGCACGGGGCAC